ACCCGGCCTGGGATGCTGCAGCCCCCACGGGCGGCCCTGGGGAGGGGGATTCGTCCAGGGGGACGGTAGGTGAAGTCCCAGGGTGGCAAACGCGCCCCCCCGGGAGCAGGACCGTGCCCCAGCTGGGGGGAGCTGGGCTGCTGCCGTGGGGTCAAGGGCTTGGTGGCGAAGCTGTGCCACCGAGAAAGCGTCACTGGAAGGGCCAGGAGGAGAACTTGCCTTGTGCCGGGGCCCCGCGTGTGCCTGGATTTCTTCCAAGGATGCTGCAGCTTTGTTTTTTCTGCTCGGGTCCGCGCCAGCTCCAAAGCTTTCCAAGGGAAGCTGCAAAAGGAGCGAAAACTCTTCCAGGGGTGCATAACCTTAGCGGCCGCCAAACCTTTTCCAAGCCCCCCAGGAGGCAGGGGCAGGCTGGGCGCCGGATCCGTCCTCCGATCGCAGTTTTCGTGCGGGAGCCCACCGGCAGGCAGGGGCGGGTGTGGGATGGTTTGACAGCGCCAGGAGTCAGGAACAGGAATCCCTTCTCTCCGCGAATGCGCTGCGGGGGAGCGGGGGAGCAGGTATTTTCATTGCCTCCAAGCCAGGCCAGCCAGGACTGCCTGAAACGGCCTTCCCTGCACTGCCTTAATGACCGCAGAGTCATTAAAAAGGCATCATTGCCCCCTTTTTTCCCTGTCCCTGCCTCCCAGCATCAGCACAGAGGCAGCTAAATACCTCCCTGGGAACAGGTCGTACCCCCGGCCGACAGTGAAGCCTGGAGCGGTCCCAGCCCTAAGCCACCCTCGGTGAAACCCCACCACCCCCCCGGCAGTGGGGAGCGGGGATCTGCAGGAGGACCAAAGGCCACCACGGTGGTTTTCCCGGTGAGCCCCGGGAGGAACCTCATTTCCAGTCCTGAGTGTGCCTGGCCCCGAGCCCGGCACACGGTCCCTGTCGGACGGGCAGGATCCGTCCCAGCCTCGACATCTTTGCGTAAGAGCCACTGTGAGACCCTACGGTCCGACCGATGGGCCATGGGAATGACGCCCACTTTGAGATGCTTTGAGATCAGCATTGCGCCCACTGTGCTCCCGCCGCACCCACCCTCTCGTGCTCCTGCCAGTTCCCTTGTGGGGCACCAGGGCATTTCTCCAGGGCCCCCCACGATCCCATCTCCATCGTCCTCCCAGGCATGAGCTGGTTCCTGCGTGGTGCAGGATTGCCATCGCTGTCACGCTCTCCAGGGAGTACGACACTAAACTTCTCAGCAGTGTTTCCTTCCCCGGTGCTGAGCTGCGAGGAGCTGGGCTCCTCGTGGACATTTCTTTCCCAGGGAAGAAATTTGGTGTCATCTTCGAGGACAGTTGGGTCAGGGTTCGGAAATTTTTTTCCTGGTGGTTTGCTGCGATCAATTTCTGTGCAAAGAGGGGTTTTAGTCTCACGCTGTGAATATCACCGCCAGATATCACCACTACCTGCAGTCGGGGATGCCTCTTCCCCTGCTCGTCCTGGGCAGCCGCGGAGCTGGTGACCAGGACACCCGATGCTGCTGTCTTCTGCAAGCTCGGTCCTCGAGGAGAGGCTCCCGGTGACCAGACCCAGCAGGGCTGGATCCTGAGGTCGGGGTTAGAAAAATCCTATTGCTAAAAGGGTGGTAGAGGTGGGTTAGGGAGCGATCCCACGCGTGGTTGGGTCGGTCAAGGCAGCAGGCAGGTGGGTTAGGACCGACCCGTCCCTCGGATGGGGTGGCGGGGGGAGAGGGGTTTGGTCTCGTTCCCTTCTCATGCCGCTCGGTGTGTTGTCAGAAGCTGCAGCAAGCCTTGCCTGTACAGGGAACAGCAGTTTAAAGTGTCATGTTAATATTTAGCACATCCAGCTCCAAAGCCGATTTACATCTTACCCAAATTCCTTGTCCCGAAAGGGGAACAAGTGGAGGCAGCTCCGTGCCTGCCCTGCGGACGGGGAAGTCCGGGGGCAGATCCCCTGGGTAGCTCTTTGACGCGTAGCAGCATCGTTTTGGGTTGTGGGAGAGCACTGAGCCTGGGGTGCCAGCTAACACGAGACATGAATCCAGGACAGGACCTTGCGTGGGGGGCAGGACCTTGTTCTGGATGAGGGGACCAGAATTATCACCCCATGAGGATACATAAGCAGTACGATCCTTATGGAAAGGTGATCTTTCTGACACACCATGGATTTCAACAGTTGTACTAATGGTAAGGTAGAAGTTCTCACATGCTCTCGGTCTTTTCTTGATGTGCTTTATGGTACTTGTGAGGATTGGCTCATGCCACATTGCTCCTTGCTTTGGAGGAGCCAGAGCTGGGTCCCGCGGGCGCCTGGGCTGGACCCTGTCCTGCACCGGTGGGTCTCAGCGCTGGGTTTCAGCAGGTGGCTCCTGACACCCGTCTCTGAGGATGCGCAGCACTGCCGTTGCATTGCCTTCTGTGAAAGGCTTTCCTGGCTCCGGGTGTTTAGGGCATGGCCATGGCGCTGTGGTACTAACGAGTGCATCAGCGCATCCCGGAGATGGGAACAGGGTCCGCTCCCCACCGGGTCCCACGCTGGAGGCGGCTGTGAAGCATCTCAGCACTCTGGGCACTCGGCGCATGGATGGGGCAGAGCTCCTCCGGCGTCTCTGTGGCTCAGGCAATGCTTTGCTGTCCCCTTGCCCCATGAGAATTTGGGAATTACGGGCAGCAGAGTCATGGCATGGTGAGTTCAGTGCTGCCGTGAAGCTGTGTAACTTGTGTCCCTTTGGCTGCCTCATCCTCTCTGACCAACTCTTGAAATCCCTGGCTGTATTTTTGCTGTTTGATTAAAATGATGGTGTGCCATCCCTGCCCCGATCCCCATCCAGGCTGGCCATGGCTTTGCCCTCCAACCAGGGCTCATCCGAACTGCCCCAGGGCTGCCCAGCCCTGGGCTAACCCCTGCCCTGGGATGGGACGGGATAGGAAGGGGTGGGATGGAGCCAGGCACGTTGGCCTGGACCCTCAGTGCCAGACCCAGGGGAACATGCCGGTGTGGGTGGTTGGGTTTTGGTGCCAAGGTCTCTAGAGGGAAGAGTCTCCTGCCTTTCCCCAGTGACTCCAGAGGGAGCTTTAGACACCTTTAGCTTGGAGTGAGGTGACGTCCACCAGCCTGGCATCCCTCAGTGCTCCTCACAGCAACTCGTAGGTTGAGTGTTGTGCTGATACTCCTCAGAGCCCTGCTTTTCCTGGAGTTACTGAGCATTGCAGAGAGGGATGCTCTTCGCTAGCCATCCACCCTCCTCCCCCTCCTCACCCGCCGGCAGCACGGCCTGGGGGTTCAGGCAGAGCTCCCCAGGTGGGTGTTTGCTCATTCAGCCAAAAGCATCTATTATTGCACGAAAAGAAGTTAAAGAAAGAGTTCGACTCCGGTGTGACAGGCTGCCGTGTGCGCTTCTGCAGGTGGGCAGTGCTCTGAAACGCTGCTTGACTTCATCTCAGGTGGGAGATGAATAAATCACATCCCTGATAAAAGCGTTCCTGAGAAAGGGCTGAGACTGACAGCCGTGTGGGATGGCTATGGAATAACGCTGCTCCTCTTCTCTCAGGGATCCCCGCACTCCCGGCAGCCCCCGTGAGCCGTAGCTGCACTATTTGCGTTTTGCAAGCAGGAGAAACTGAGGCACGGACAGGAGCTCCCGGCTCTGGACCCCTGGGAGCAGCCAGGGAGAGGTGCCAGGTTATCCGGCTCCTGGTCTGGAAGCGGAGGGGGGAGGTGGGCTCTACCCCACAAGGGCGGCCAAAACCCATTCCCACCCCTGAGCATCAGGGACTCGTCTCCCACCATGGCGTTGGATTTGACTCACCAAACTCCCAGGGGACGCTCGTACCCTGGGAGGTTGGGAGGGGGGTGTTGACCAACAAGATCCCTTGCCATTATGACCCTCCCAGTTGTTCTTAGGAGATTTGGGGGTGGGTTTGAACTTCAGTGACTCGTAAGGCACCCCTCACTCCCCAGCAGCCGCCCTGTGCGTGCCCCCAGGCTGGCTGAAAAGGGCTCCAAAGCCCCCAATCCGTTGCAGCTCTCCATTTCTCCGCCTCTTTGCTCTGCAGGTGAAGCCGAACTATGGGTGAATTCGGGATCTTCTGCAAATACTTGCTCTTCAGGCTGGCTGCAGGGGAAGAGCAGAAAAATGGTGAATTTTCTTCAGCCTGCCCATTTCGGCGGTGCCTGCTCCTGTCCCCCAGCGGGGTCTGAGCTCGTACAGGGTCACTTCCCCATAGCAGTTTTCACTCTTAGACCAGCCTAATTGCGCTTGTGAAGGAGGAAACTTGCGCCCTGGTGCAATTAGAGAGCTTGTCAGCTAATCGATCACAGATGGAGTTATAAAGAGCTTCTTGGCGAGGCTTCCTCTCTGGATTAGCATGTGTAAATGAGGGAGATTATTCATGGATACCCCCTGGAGCACCACCGGGCACCGGTAGATAATGATGCCGCTGTAATGAAACATCGCCGTGATGCTTGCTGGATTGGGAGAGGATGGGGCAGGGGAGGTCCCACCGTGTTGGCTTGTCTTAAGTCATGCTCTTAGGAGAAATATTTCGCGTGGCAGATTGTCCCCCCCCCTTGGAGTGTCTTCTCCCAGATACTGCTTCCTACGTGTATTCACTTACAGCTGCTTCACCCCCTGACCTGTGCACATCTCCTCAATTACTTTGGTCCCATATCTACGTGAGGGTGCTCTGCAGCTTCCCCTTAAGCCCACACCAAGGCTGAGATGCCCTGTGCCTCTGGCACATGGTGCCTGTCCCATCACCTAGGAGGCTGTGGGGTCCTAGAATCATAGAATGGTTTGGGTGGGAAGGGACCTCTAAAGGCCATCTAGTCCAACCCCCCTGCCCTGGGCAGGGACATCTTCAACTAGAGCAGGTTGCTCAGAGCCCCGTCCAGCCTGACCTGGAATGTTTCCAGGGATGGGGCATCCACCACCTCTCTGGGCAACCTGGGCCAGTGTCTCACCACCCTCAGCGTAAAAAATTTCTTCCTTATATCTAGTCTGAATCTCCCCTCTTTTAGTTTAAAGCCATTAACCCTTGGCCTGTTGCAACAGGCCCTGCTAAAAACTCTGTCCCCATCTTTTTGATAAGCCCCCTTTAAGTACTGACAGGCTGCAATAAGGTCTCCCCGAAGCCTTCTCTTCTCCAGGCTGAACAACCCCAACTCTCTCAGCCTTTCTCCATAGCAGAGGGGTTCCAGCCCCCTGATCGTTTTCGTGGCCCTCCTCTGGACCTGGTCACCCCAGCCCCGGCCCGGTTCCCCCCCCCTGGGGTGAGGGGGGGGGCCAGGCTGCATCCCACCACCGCTCCCATCCCGTCCCATGGAAAGCGAGGAGGGAACTGGGTCCCCTTGCGCTGGGAGGCAACCAGTGTGCACGGGGCGAGGGTGGGCAGCTGTCCCGTAGCCCATGAGGCTCGTGAGTCTCCTCCACCCTCACCCGGAGTCGGTTGGCATGAGATAAATACAGTGCTCTGCCTATATCCCCGAGAAACTCGTGCATCTGTGGGTGAAGTGATTCACGGCAGGGAATCGGGAGGGTGGCTTGGGATGCAGGACGCACCTTCTGGGTTTGCTTCACCCAGGTCAGATGCTGCAGACAGCAGAAAGTCTGACAAAATTATTTTCTGGCTCTGCTTGTGTAATAGTTAAATTAGAAAGGGATGGGGCATTCCCTGCCAAGAGCCGCGTCATCAGGGTATCTCAATCCTTGGTAAAATAAAGTAGAGGTTGACCCCGCAGCAGTAAGGGGTACCCCCGGCACCCGCTTTCCCCGACCACAAGTTGTCTGTGCAATGCTGGGCCCAAACCAGACTCACGCACAGAGATGGTTTTAATTGCCCAGGAGACAGTTTTCCTTTCTGGAAGGGAAAGCTTCAACGTGATTCAGTGATTAAATATTAGCATTTTTCTAAGTTTTCCTCCTGCGGTGTTATGAAGTGGATATTAACTAGAAATATTGTTTCGGGGGGTGTGGGTGGGTAAGGTTATCCTACTGAGAGCAGCTGAAAGCACGGGGCAACCTATGAGCTGGGGCTCCTTGGGAAAACCTGATTATTTCAATAACTAATGCACGTGCTTGGCTGCTCTCCCTGGCCTTCCCCTCCACAGCAGCACGTCTGGCCGCTCCTCCTCTCCTCTCGTCCCTGCTCCCGGCTGACCGGGGGCTTTCGACGCTCCCCTGCCTGCGCGGGCAGAGCAGCCTGAGCTCCTCGTCCTCCCCAGGTCCCTGCCCGGGGCAGTGCCCCGCAGATCCGGGGTGAGCTCCTCGTCCTCCCCAGGTCCCTGCCCGGGGCAGTGCCCCGCAGATCCGGGGTGAGCTCCTCGTCCTCCCCAGGTCCCTGCCCGGGGCAGTGCCCCGCAGATCCGGGGTTGGCGCGGTGGGGGGATGAGGTCCCTGCCCGGGC